TCAGACAAACACAGAGCCTCCAACTCACTTTGGTCGCGCCCTACTGGCCAGCCAGAACGTGGTTTCCCATTCTAATTCAAGAAATCGGTCAACCAGCACTAGAGCTACCAAAGTGCTCGAATCTATTAGTACATCCACACACCAAACAGGTGCACGGAAGCCCAGGAGTATTCCAACTTCACGTATGGACTGTATTAAAATGTGTTTAAACAAGAGAGGATATTCAACCAGAGCGGCAAAAGCAGTCACGCTTGCTTTACGCTATTCTACACGTAACTTGTACGACGACAAGTGGCACAGTTTCGAAAATTACGCAGCAAATAAGGGATTTACAGCTTAGAGATGCTACTCATCCACAAGTGGCAGATTATTTGTGTTACCTACGCCAAAACAAACATTTAAAAGGCTCGACATTGTCAAACATATCTTGCCGCCGCTCTGTGATAACTATGAGAACGGGTGTCAAGTTAACCAAGACTCCAGAGTTACTGGCCTTACTACGTGCTTCCGATTGAGGATCAAAAGCGAAGTTCCACGCCCAGCTTGGGATCTGAATATAGTGCTCCAACACCTCACAAGTGAGGCTTATGAACCCGTTGGAATCGACAACCTTTGAATTTCTCTCACAGAAAACGCTTTTCCTGTTATCTCTAGCCACGGCAGCCAGGATGTCAGAAATTCACGCACTAGATTATGAGAGGATACAGTTTGATGACAATCAAAACACAGCACACCTGGGATTAAGATGGGATTTCATCGCCAAAAATCAATTGCCAGGTCAACCAGACAGGTTATTCCATATTCCGGCACTCTCCTCGATTCTCGGATCTCAGGATACACTGGACTTATCTCTATGCCCAGTCAGAGCTCTCAAAATCTATTTACGACGTTCCAAAACAAGGCGAAGATTTCTCAAACGATTATTCAGCCCCTTATCGGCAACAACTCAGACAGAAGTCTCTCGTACCACCATATCTATATGGATAAGAACTGTCATACTTCAGCCTTCACAAGGCAGCAGGACTGGAACCTCCAACAGCATCAAATCCCCATGAGATCAGGGCATTGGCTTCCACACTCGCTCTACACGGTAACTGTTCATTGAATACAATTATGGAAGGATGCTTTTGGAAATCTAACATGGTGTTGCTAATCACTATCTGAGAGATATCACCACACGAGGACGCCTCAGGTATTCACCATTTCGGGTCCTTGGTCCCGCGACGACAGCAGTTGACAGTCCCTTGTGAGCGCTAACACATAGTCTTACGAGATTATTATGTATATTTCATACCAGTATTATCTAGCTTATAACTCTACGGAGTTCTAGGGCTATGTATATACTAAGCTTAAGTCTACTCAGCTTTAAGCTTATACTGATGATTATGTTCAGTTGTATAGCTTCTCCTTGTCAGTCGCTTTTATATCTTTATTTGCTAATATCATAGTATATTATTATTGTAATACCCCATTTATGGCAATGTATAAACTTATGGTTTATAGTAGAGGAATTATCCTAAGTCAGTGCCTTTATGAAGTTCCGTTAGGGTTATTACAGTTATATCTATATAAATCACTAATTTTATAAATCCAAAGTATTCTGTTCTTTTCCCACCTCCGTTCCGTGAGGATTCTACAAGCAAAAGAGCATGAGTCAGGATAAGGGAAAAATATGTAATTTTTAGAGTAAAATTGATATTTTATACTTATCCTGACTCATGAGGTAAGCCCTCCCATCCTCCCCACATAACACTTTGGATTTCCTGTAAATTCAAGTGTTGGGCTCCTAAGAAAATCAGGAGAGAGTGAAGCATGAGGCCAGAGGGTGGCGCCACCTTTTCCCGCGCAGAGGCAAAGGGAGGCAACTCTTGGTGAGTACTAATTAGTGATTTTACATTGAAGGGAGCTTCAATTAAGGAGATACAAGTGTTCCACTATGTTCTCAAGAAGAAGAAGACAAGCAAAAGAGCATGAGTCAGGATAAGTATAAAATATCAATTTTACTCTAAAAATTACATTTTTGTGTGTAACATTATTGTTACCTTGTATCCAAATGAATAGAAGTTTCAGATGTTTGGGTTAAAAACATGATGATATTACTAATGTGAATGAAATTCCTAAATATTTTTGTCATGATCAAACTATTTAGAATCGTTACTTGTCTTAGTAAACGTTTCACAGTGTCATCTGTTTGTACCGGGTGTCATAGTAAGAAAATAGCAATACCGCGATAACAGAGAGTTGCTTCAATTTCCGGGTCAAACGAAACAATCGGAATTGCCGCAATGGTACTAAACGATGTTGCGACTATGTGTCCCATTATTTGTGACAGAAATGAAGACATGAAGATTAAACATCAGTCAACTGAAAATATATATAAAATGCTAAATGTCAGTAGCCGTTCATAATCCCGATGGCGACAACATTAACTACCAGGATATTAGATAATGATAATGTCAAAAATACAATGTAAAACCTTTTTTTTTTCACTTTCTTCACATTTCGTGTCGGAGGATCCGTAATAGTGATAAAAACAAAAAGGCCTGAGCTGGACATGGTGCTGACAAACCAAGAAACGTTATCAGGGCAAATCTCTGATTTGAGTGTGGTGTTCTACAATAAACAAACAAAAATCAACAGAAGTTGTTTAGCAATATGTTTCATCTTAACTTTTGAAATAATTTGGAACTGAAATAACCCCTTCTGGCTTATCTGTCAAGCACCATTGTTAAAGGTCACATGCAACGCAAACCACAACTTTGCAGATTCTGATACCTTTCGGTATGGACTTACAGTAACAAATGATCAAAAATGCAAATTCAACTTATAAAGTTGAAATATAATGCGATGAAAACCCCCGCCGTGAAATGGGAGTTCACACGATTCACTAAATTTACCCCAGCGCTGGGGTGAAAAGTGGTTTCAACAGCTGTGCTGAGCCCATAGCGCATGCACAGTGATTAGGTTCACGTGGCTTGAACCGGGAAGGCGACTAGTAAAACCACAGCAAGTGATGCATGCAAGGATTATCGCTGTGGTCGAAGTTGGAGAACAAAAGATGTTTCTTGTGATTACAAGCATCTTTGGTCTGCAGTAATAAAAAATACACTGGTCCCATACTTTTTCATATTTGTTTTCACATCTTGCTTTTTGGGGGTTGGCAGATTTGAAATCAAGTTTTCGAGAAAGTATAGCATTAGAAATACTAATTTCTTTGTTAAAAATTGCTCAACTTGAAAACTGAAATGTTTTAATACATGTCTATGGAAACCTAGAAAAATATTTTGATTGTGATAAGCAGTCTCTGTCACAGACAAAACTCAGTGTCTGTTTTATTGACACCTAGGTGTCTGCTAATGACAATATGCAATACACAACTTCAATCATTGAACACATGCAATTTGAACTTGAAACGTATCAGGCTATACACCATAAACAAAATACATTGATTTATGGCTCGTGCACCTAGGTTCTTTCTCTTTGACTTATGTAATTACACAGACAGGCAGGTGTGATATTTGTACACATGACATGTTATTGTGTCTGTGGGTTGCAAACAAACTGCATCCATCTTTCTCGGATGACTGGATCAGATGGAAACCAGTGCGAACTCAGATTGTCAGTTTCAAGTCCTACTTTGTAGCCACGCAGTAGTGCACCATCTCAGTATTTGTCAAATGCAGAAAAAATGAGCATGCATTTACAAAACCCAACATCTCTATATACAAACACACAATGAGCCCTCAGCATATCGGCAAATGAACCAGCCAATGAAAGCCTTCGTTACACTTGAGTGCACACCCACCGGCTCTGACCGGGTTCGGTCTCCCGGTTTCGAGGGAAGAAAACCCAAGTACAAAATATTGTACTTTTGATTTGCGATTGTACGCTTATAATTTTGTTTATTTGTATTTTCATAATCAGCAATGTATATTATATGTCATGAACAAGTGATAATTGTGTTTTAATTATGTTTTTTTTTTTTGTTGCATGTTTAGCTTTGATGATATGGAATTTGTAAACCAACTAGCTCTTTAACCTCTACTGTATGAATGACAGTTCAGTGTGTAAATTCACACTAATTTAACTTCTTTCATCGCACAACTCAGCAATGTGAATGAAACCTGTTCTCTTACAGTATTTGTTTCAGATAAGGAGAGTTTTGTCATGAAGAGTAATTCTTACTTTCTAGGTCAACTTTTAATTTTTCTCCCAAAGAATCTTACTTCATGGTTGCTGGAGACCTTAGAATTGTTCAGCTAATTCTGACAGGGACTGGGAAGAGGTTAAATGTGGTGGTACCACTGGTGTGTGGTCTTGTGCATAGAGCCCAGGTGACAAATCAGTTCAGGTTAGGAACGTTGGTCACGGATTCCTTGGATGGGTGACCGTGTTTGGCAGCTTGACTTTTAGAAGTTCCTTAGGAATTCAGTCCTGCCCCCACATGAAACACATGTGACACAAGTAGTCTTGAGTTTGTTCCAAATTGTCTCTTTTCACCCAGCATTGAATAATACCTGGTGGGACAAAATAGTCATATCACTGTTAACCTTCTAGCACCTCACAGGCAGCTTGGGTTAACTGGAGTATGAATGTCTGTGCTTTGTCTGGGCATAATGTATCCTTAGCATCGCTGAGCATCTTTGAGGTGGATATTAGGTGTTCTTCAAATATATTATACATGTATATTAATGCCTGTGTATATGTAAAACTTTGTTCTATTTATGTTCTATCTGTTCCACTTCTTATAAGTAGTCTATGTTTGTCCTATTCTAAAGTGCATACCTATCATTCCCCCATCATAGAAGAAGTTTCATTTGGTAATGTAGATTTGCAACTTTCCACCTTCACCTGTATCTTTAGTGTAGGTGACAATACCATAATCAGTTGAACTTTGTTTCTTCATCCATTTGATTAAAGTGTTAATTTTCAGACTCTCTGCCAGAAACCCATGCTTGTTGAGGCCGAGGTCAATAATCTTTGCACGTTTTCTGTTCCAGGGCTATGATCATAGCAGTTGGGATTGCAGGCTTTACTGTGGCAAGACAGTCGGTAATCTCCAATCGAGGAGAAATTATGAAAAGGAAACAGAGCATTCGAGACTTTGTCATTGCTGAACGTGAAGCTGAGGATAACTAATGTGGACCTCATGGCTGTGACTTCCGTGACCTGTGACGTCATGCATGTGCATCTTCTCTGAAGACAAGGCACTTGTTAAAATGTTGAGACTTCATAGTTTCAACAATGAAATTGGAGGACACCAAGATGACAAAGTTTTCCCATCTGTGGTAGTCATGGAAACTTTGTTTTCTACAGTCTTTCTACATTCATGTTTATATACAAGATGGTAGTGAGTTTTGTTTGTGTGCAAGTGTGACTATTGTCATAGAATAAATCCTTTCATCAGCCATTGTTGACTACCTTTAGATGATTATTTAATAATGGTCATATTCTTCTTCTCACTTCTGATAACTAGAACTATGTTTGCAGTTGGCAGCATTTACATCAAACAACAGCTAACTGAGTCTTGGGCAGGGACTGGGCACAACTGATTGATCACATGACTAACATCCCTCCCAGTCTGGTACAATAGTATACAACGTCCAGGCCATGTTCCAGGTGGAATAATCACTACATGCATGATCTGGAGATATCCATTAGGATGTGTGGCAGTAAACTTAGGCTCAGTATTATTTGTTACACTGCTATACTGAGTCTAACAAACCTTTGTAGAAGGTCGCGTCAGCTAACCTTTGAGTGACATATGACCGTCAAATCAAATGCGAGATGGCTGTGCACTTTTAACCAATCAGACAACGGCTACTATTTTAGGGTTTGGCGGGACTTACAAAACGATTTTTGGTTTTTCTCTTCCCCGGTTGCTGACACTGATCTCTCAATAAACGAAAGTCCTTATAAAATACAGATATTTGACCTGCAGTATATACACTTATGGGTTTCTGATGACATGCTTACTATTAGCTTATATTTCCGCAAAATGATATCCTGGAATATTGACAAAAACACTTTGTTCAGCAACTGTTTACTCGATGTTGTGAATAATGCGTCCTCCATGTGTAACACACGGAAGCGATCATGCGGAAAATAGCATTAGGAATCGTTCAAGTTTTCGAGGTAGAAGTTAAACGGCATGTGCGAATGTTAACTTTCGCGATTTGGCAAGCTGTGTACTGATTGGTCAATTCAAAAGGTTAGCTGACGCGATCTTCTACTTGGGTTTGTTAGACTCAGTATAACAGTGTAACGAATAATACTGAGCCTAAGTTTACTTAGACTGGATGTGTGGTGATATTTAACATGGTTTGCTCGTCCCTTTTTGGCTACTCAGGCCACCAAGTATAAATTGTTGATGGCCTTCCTTTGTCAAGTTGATTATGCACAAGTCACCCTGAAAATGTTTCTGACAATGGCTCAATTTACACTTCTATACCAAGTGATTTAGGGGTCATGCAATATTGTTTTGCGATGTACGGGTGATGTTGCTGCAAGGAATTATGAATTATGTATGATATGTAAACACCTTCAGACCAATAACCAAACTCAGTTATTCCACTCAGTGATTCATGTGACTTAGTAATCAAAGGAAAAATAATATAGACATCTGCATTGTGTTGGTCAGGTTCTTCTCCCAACTCTAATGGCTCCAGAGGCAATGAAAATGTCATTATCACAAACTACTTACAAAGTGACAAAAATATTTATTCATTCATGTAAATTTAAAAACAAGCGGTGTTAACATGTTAAAAATATTAAAATAACATCTTATGACCAACCCATTACATCTCAATACATAACAAATATGGATGACCATACAAAATAAGATTTAGTGCAAGCGAGCATTTCATCAATTTCGTTTGGTCTCAATGATAAGCAATGGACAGTGTTTTTATCTGGTACTTCTTTTCATCACACCCATGGATTGGCCTATATTTGCAATGGATCATGACGCTCCATCCTTGATTATCTAGGTACATACCTCTATTTTATAATGATAAATTCCTGGAACTCACAATGTAACACCACAAACTCATCTATCATTTGATCACATGAGATTAAGATCAACTTCGAAGAAGGGTTTAGCAATGATCTAATTTGAAGAGTGCACCTCTGTATTATTAAGTCCTCAACATATTATTCCTCATACCAGAGGACTTGTATCAATAATCTTTTAGCTGGAAAATAAGGTTTTCTGTATTAGACTGGGTGAAGGAAGTGATTATGCCAGAAGACATAGTCATATTTGAGGCCACATAACGAGGTGAGTCAAATAATCAGCTTCTTACTATCATTAACATTAAAGAATGAGGTAATTATGTTTGACAGCTACGTTTTGCATCATATCATTTAAACCAGATCTGTAATGAAGTGAATGGGTTCAGGGTATTATCAGAATGGAGTGGAGATATAATACACTGGATAATTGAAGATACATGACACAGATACATATTTGTAAACTTATAAAAACCCAAGATATCACAGCAGTTGTATATAGTACTGATAATAAAACAATGATCATGGACGGCATACTTGAGCTAAATCTATTGAGCAAGTTATTGAAATGTTAGTGTGAGTAGCAAATTATTACAAAATGGAGCTGTAAAAAACACAAATGATATTAATATTTAATAACTTATATTAGTAAAAAGTATAAATAATATGTACATATAAAGGATTGCAACATGAACATTTACGGTAATACTGAAATATCACAAATATAAAACGAACATCCAAGATGTTTCATTGAAACATAAGACATCATTTGGTTAATCTCATTCTAAGTAGTCAGTCAGTCAGTCATAGCTGCAATTTGTTCCTTCGTCAGACAAGGATCCATTGAATAAATATTGGAATCCCTGATTTGCCCCGAATCTAAAGCCCATCTTGTGGTAAACATGGTGGTTACAAGCAGAAAACATCTAGGACCTGCCTTCCTTCCGTGCTGCCTCCCACACTGAGATGTCCTAGTCTAACTGGAAAATACTGATCAAAGCAGCACTAGATCCAGACACACCAGAAATATAGTTAAGTGTCATCCCTTCTTTGTTTACAAACACCATAGTTTCATGTATCTATGGGAAGTATTGACATATGACTGATATCATTCTGATGAATCTCCTCCAAAACTCGACCAATTACCTGCTGACAGGTGGTATGACAAAACTGCAGTCTAAGTAAACTTAGGTTCAGTATTTTTCGTTACACTCCTATACTGAGTCTAACAAAACCTGGTGGAAGGTCGCATCAGGTAACCTTTGAGCGACCTATGCCCGTCCAATCAAAAAAGGCGAGATGGCCGAACGGATTTAACCAATCAGACAACGGCTACTATTTAGGGTTTGGCAGGACTTACAAAATGGATTTTCTCTTCCTGGTCGCCAACACTGATCTCAAAACAAATGAAAACCCGCATAAAACGCAGATATATGACCTGCAGATTATACGCTTTTGGGTTTCTGTTGACATGGCTATGATAAGCTATTATTTCTGCAAGCTGATATCCTTGAATACTGACAAAACGCTATTCTCAGCGACTGTTTACTCACTCTTGTTGTGGGGTGCTCCATGTGCATCACTCGGAAGCGATCGTATGAAAAATAGCATTCGGAATCGTTCAGGTACAAAACTTTTTTGAGGTAAAAGTTCAAAAGGTATGTGTGAATGTCAACTTTCGCGATTTGGTAAGCTGTGTTCTGATTGGTCCATTGAAAAGGTCAGCTGACGCGACCTTCCACAAGGTTTTGTTAGACTCAGTATAGCAGTGTAATGAATAATACTGAGCCTAAGTTTTCTTAGACTGGACAAAACTGTATATTACTCCAGTTGCAAGCAAGAATTGAGTCATATTGCATGATACAAACAAGCTGAGTCAGCAATGAAAAGGGATGTCACATTACTGGCATCAGAGGACAATGACAAACCATTCATGACAACCTATCTTAGTTTCTGTATGTCAGTTTGAATATGTTTCTCTGTGAATGAAAGCAAATGTTCTGCTAAAAAAACATGACAATACTGTAGAATGAAGAATGACTATTATATATGGAAACATACACAGAAACGCTGAACTATTTTCTGATGTATAATTGTGACAAGTATAAAATCTCACAAAAACAATAACTGAAAAATAAAGATATCAGGGCTCCAGATAAGGGCCATATCGGCGTATGTACGGATATAAAATAAGCATGATACGGTAGGAAACAATTTTAAAAACGTAGTAGATACGGACCACAGCAATGGTGTACGGTTTTCAGAATCATTTACAGACGTATTTATCTGAAAAAGTATTGTTTTATTGTTTACTGACCTGTTTACACAAGAATAGCATTGATGTGGTGCATATATGAAACGAAACACAAGATTACTGAAACGCCATCAAATTCCATTCAGCACTCTAAATGTACTCTTATTGTTTTCCAGTACTCCTATGTTGAAAATATAAGGAGTACGTACTCCTGATCATGAAAAATTATCTGGAGCCCTGGATATGTTTCAGTAAAATATTATACACAGGACAGGATGTATTTACAAATAAAGTGTTTTCTATACACTACAACCATATCAAAAAGACCTATCACAGTGGGAAAGATATTCCTTATAAAACTAAAACATTGCACATTTACACCTAAATATTGCAGTAAAAACACTGCAGTACTATGAAGTTACAACAAAAGACTTCATGGTACCAAAACCAAGATTGTTTCCTCACTTTACCCTCAAATATGTTCAATACTGAGGCTTACACACAAGTTCAGTTATGAACTTTATGACAAATGCTGAGTTTTGCTCGTTCTGCTATTCAGCCAAGCATTCACCAAAGCAATGTGGTACATATTATTGTGTATGAGCCTTCATATATCTTTTTTTGTAGCAAAATAATTTTAGTGTTTCATGCAGCAGAATAACTGTAAGAAATTCTATTTTGACTTGATCAGTGCAAGACATTTTACTTCACACGTACACAACTTCTGCCAAGAAATATTTGCTTAGATTGTATATTTAACACCACACTCTGCAATATTGCATCGAGAAGATAGTTGCCTGTATTTAATCAAGTCAGGACCAGGTACAATCACATACAATCAACCAGGTCATTGAGCCTGCCTCCCTGATCCTTCAGTCACTTGGTATGACTTGTACAGGACTCGAACAGAATATCTGTGGTCAGCTTAGAAAGAATATCGGACAACACTGAAGCCTGTCGAACATAGCACCATGGTACAGTGACTCAGCAGTGGTACTAAAAAGAAGCTGAATGTACATTCATTAAGGCTACGTGATATGGAGTTCGATCAGAGACCATATAGGGTCTCTGGTTTGATGTCCCAGCATGATACTGTAAAAGTTTTAAAACTAAATAAAAAGTAACAATTCATGTTACATGAGATACTGGTTCTATGATAATTTTGTTTCACAGTCAACAGTTGTCTAAGTTGAATACGGGATGCAAAACCATGGTATATACTAGTTACTGTTGTGGTGACATGCATGTGGCAGGTGTGGCCCATGCATTGACCACGGTATATAAATGCAGATGTTGTATAATGAATAATGGGATAAAATGTTCATGAGAGGTTGAAAGTGAAAAAGTATAAGACTATGGATGGACTCATTCAAATTACAATATGTTAGATTCACATAATATTCACCTCAATCCTGTGGGTTCCCATAACATTCACCTCAATCCTGATTTGGTGAGAACCAACTCAAACTGAGGTCAATCATAACACTTTGCAGAAAAAATTCGTTCAGAATGCAGTCTTCAAAATTAAGCATGAAAGACAATACGTCCTTGCCATTGCTGGAAATTAAAGCTCGGAGAGTCCCTAGATTATTATGATAGAGGATCAGAACACAAGGTCCCCAGTACCCCCTTTAATTTCAAACACTGAAATATACGTAAGTCTTTTAAAAACTATTATCTTAAAGGACTTTAAATCACAACATATGATGAGGACTCATTTCTTAATGTCCTTTGACAAAGTAGTTGTCTCCTTTATGTGACAAATGTTTTTTCATGAATTGTTTTATTGGTCGTATTAGGCACTTGAATCTTGACCAGAGCTGTCATTAGGACCTTGATGAAAGGTTGGAGGCTTTCAGCTCACGCAGTTCGGATTTACCATCCTTCAGAATAGGCCTCTTTATTTTTCGTCCATCTTGATCATACAGCAGCACACGATCCTATGGCCCAAACAGAACATTTTATCAGCAGTTCTTCCTTTAGCGTACTGAACTAGTGAGTGAGTTTAGTCTTATGCCGCACTCAGCAATATTCCAGCTATATGGCGGGTCTGTAAATAATCGAGTCTGGACCAGACAATCCAGTGATCAACAGCATGAGCATTGATCTGCGCAATTGGAAACTGATGACATGTGTCAACCAAGTCAGCGAACCTGACCACCCGATCCAGTTAGTCGCCTCTTACAACAAGCATGGGTTAATGAAGAGCAATATTCTAACCCGGACCTTCACGGGTATGTACTCAACTACAGCATGTGAGAAAAACAATCATGTACTCAGAAGAGGCACTTGCTTGATAACGGTGTTAGTACCTACACTGAAACGTCGCACTCATTGCAATAAAGAAGTTGACTATCCTTAGAACTTTGTTCTCCTTCATCTTTACAAGTTCTAAAATGCCTTTTAAAGAAATGATTCTGTCGTCCAAGATATCAGGAATCTTACCTTTTTGATTTCTCTGTACATATCATCTACAAATCTTTTCTTATGCCTGTAATCCTGGATGAAGAAATTTAAAAAAATGAGTCATAAGTTAGACTGTAACAACTAATTAATGAGTAAAATATGATGATAAATACATTGTATGATGAAGGACAACATCAGATATCAAAAGCAGTTCTGAAGGGACATGTTACTACATGAGGCAAACAGCCTGTCACTTACACTCACAGTCCATTGGTAACTGACATGGGTCCATATGGATATCAGCATGGTGAGTGAATCATGCTTGCTGTAATCTTGAGCATTGTAATCTTAAAGTGAAACTGCCTGATACCCATTAACTACTTACCCTGATACGGATGCCAATACAGACAGGAACCCACACCAGAAGACTGCCGATCAATACTGCTGTGATCTTGAGCATTGTAATCTTAAAGTTAAACTGCCTGATACCCATTAACTACTTACCCTGATACGGATGCCAATACAGACAGGAACCCACACCAGAAGACTGCCGATCAATACTGCTGTAATCTTGAGCATTGTAATCTTAAAGTTAAACTGCCTGATACCCATTAACTACTTACCCTGATACGGATGCCAATACAGACAGGAACCCATACCAGAAGACTGCCGATCAATACTGCTGTAATCTTGAGCATTGTAATCTTAAAGTTAAACTGCCTGATACCCATTAACTACTTACCCTGATAACGGATGCCAATACAGACAGGAACCCACACCAGAAGACTGCCGATCAATACTGCTGAAACTGCCTGATACCCATTAACTACTTACCCACAATCACGGATCTTGAGCATTGTAATCTTAAAGTTAAACTGCCTGATACCCATTAACTACTTACCCTGATACGGATGCCAATACAGACAGGAACCCACACCAGAAGACTGCCGATCAATACTGCTGTAATCTTGAGCATTGTAATCTTAAAGTTAAACTGCCTGATACCCATTAACTACTTACCCTGATACGGATACCAATACAGACAGGAACCCATACCAGAAGACTGCTTGATCAATACTGCTGTGCCGATCTTGAGCATTGTAATCTTAAAGTTAAACTGCCTGATACCCATTAACTACTTACCCTGATACGGATACCAATACAGACAGGAACCCACACCAGAAGACTGCTGATCAATACTGCTGTGATCTTGAGCATTGTAATCTTAAAGTTAAACTGCCTGATACCCATTAACTACTTACCCTGATACGGATGCCAATACAGACAGGAACCCACACCAGAAGACTGCCGATCAATACTGCTGTGATCTTGAGCATTGTAATCTTAAAGTTAAACTGCCTGATACCCATTAACTACTTACCCTGATACGGATGCCAATACAGACAGGAACCCACACCAGAAGACTGCCGATCAATACTGCTGTGATCTTGAGCATTGTAATCTTAAAGTGAAACTGCCTGATACCCATTAACTACTTACCCTGATACGGATGCCAATACAGACAGGAACCCATACCAGAAGACTGCCGATCAATACTGCTGTAATCTTGAGAGCATTGTAATCTTAAAGTTAAACTGCCTGATACCCATTAACTACTTACCCTGATACGGATGCCAATACAGACAGGAACCCACACCAGAAGACTGCCGATCAATACTGCTGTAATCTTGAGCATTGTAATCTTAAAGTTAAACTGCCTGATACCCATTAACTACTTACCCTGATACGGATACCAATACAGACAGGAACCCACACCAGAAGACTGCTGATCAATACTGCTGTAATCTTGAGCATTGTAATCTTAAAGTTAAACTGCCTGATACCCATTAACTACTTACCCTGATACGGATGCCAATACAGACAGGAACCCATACCAGAAGACTGCTGATCAATACTGCTGTAATCTTGAGCATTGTAATCTTAAAGTTAAACTGCCTGATACCCATTAACTACTTACCCTGATACGGATGCCAATACAGACAGGAACCCATACCAGAAGACTGCCGATCAATACTGCTGTGATCTTGAGCATTGTAATCTTAAAGTTAAACTGCCTGATACCCATTAACTACTTACCCTGATACGGATGCCAATACAGACAGGAACCCATACCAGAAGACTGCCGATCAATACTGCTGTGATCTTGAGCATTGTAATCTTAAAGTTAAACTGCCTGATACCCATTAACTACTTACCCTGATACGGATGCCAATACAGACAGGAACCCACACCAGAAGACTGCCGATCAATACTGCTGTGATCTTGAGCATTGTAATCTTAAAGTTAAACTGCCTGATACCCATTAACTACTTACCCTGATACGGATGCCAATACAGACAGGAACCCATACCAGAAGACTGCCGATCAATACTGCTGTGATCTTGAGCATTGTAATCTTAAAGTTAAACTGCCTGATACCCATTAACTACTTACCCTGATACGGATGCCAATACAGACAGGAACCCATACCAGAAGACTGCTGATCAATACTGCACCAATCAAGTTGTCACTAAATGAAAAAATATAACTGAAACATGAAAGAGTCTCTCATTACACTTCATCTCGTGGGCAAAGCAGAAGGATCATGGGTAATTATGGCGGATTACGAACTAGAAGTGCTCTCATTCATCCATTTAATGAAGAGAGTAAAAAATGTAGATCAAGACTTTCATCATAGACACGAAGGACAAAAGACAATACAAAGATTGACTGATAACTTAGAAAGCCCAAGTTCTAGATCTGACACCTTGAGAAAGGAATCCACATGGTAAAGCAAAATCACTGTGTTACATGATCTCAATCAAAATTATTGAACACTCAGCTGTGCCACCACATGGAAAGCAAGCATTACCTCATTTGTTTTTATAAATAACCTTGGGGAGAAAATGCAACATATTCATATTTCAGCTTTGTCATGCAGTGAGTGAGTGTGAGTGAGTTTAGTTTAACGCCACACTCAGCAATATTCCAACTATATGGCAGCGGTCTGTAAATAATTGAGTCTGGACCAGACAATCCAGTGATCAACATCATTTGCATCGATCTACACATTTGGGAACCGATGACATGTGTCAACCAAGTCAGCGAGCCTGACCACCTTATCCCGTTAGTCGCTTCTTACGGCAAGCATGGGTTACTGAAGATCAATTCTAACCCTGATCTTCTTTGTCATGCAAATAATCAAGTCCTCCACCCTTCATACAAAGTCTGATGACCCTGCTATGAAAGGAGGTGGTTGGATGAACAAGGATTTGTCATACACGTGCTGTCTAATATGAAACTTTGTAATATGTGTTCCTCATTTTAAGTTCTTTTAGTTGTATTTAGAAGTTAGATTAATAAGAACATATTTTGAGTTATTGAAAACTCACTGATTTCACTGATGGACAGGTTTTCGATGATGGAGAACAACCTCTCAATGGTATTCTGCACTGTGCGCTTTACATGTCCCCTGTAATCATACAATATACAAGACTTGTGGCAAAAAATCGAGATATGCAAATAACGTTTCCAACAACAGTAGGTGAAAGAACAGGTTTAACAAAACAAGGTGATAGAAGAGTTTTCACATGACTGACTGACTGAGTTTGGTTTTACGTCGCTTTTAGCAATATTCCAGCAACATCACGGCGGGGGGCACCAGAAATGGGCTTCACACATTGTGCCCATGTGGGGATTCGAACCCGGGTCTTCGGCGTGACGAGCCAACGCTTTAACCATTAGGCTACCCCACCCGCCCCTTTTCACATGACATGGAAGGTGATAGAAAGGATTTCATACTACAAGTTAGGTCATGGAAAAGATTTCCATAAAATGGTAGCTAATGTAAGATAATGTTTCACATTTCCCATAAAAAGGTTAAAGATGGAAATGTTTTCACATATTATGGAAGGCGTTACAAAAGATTTTTATCCATTTTACAAAAACTGGTAGGTGTTTTCATGTTTCCCACATACCTGGGTGCAGTAGCCCTGTACACAGGGTCGTCCATCTGGCAGCAGGGAGGCAGGGTCGTACCGTTCACATGGAGATGTTGCATTCACACGGCAACACCTGTAGCAGGAAGTATCCACTGGAAAGTAAATGACAAAAAATACACTAAATAAGACATTACATTACAGAAAACTGTCCAGTGTTTCACTCAAAACACTAATTTTATGTTATCAACTATACATTTTATAAATACATCATCTTTAGTGACTACAAAAGAACAAAATAAAGTGAACATAATCTTTCCTGAGATGTACTTCATTGCAATAAAAAATCTCTGCCCCCCTCCTAATCCAGTGCCCCTACTAGAAATACAGAGGAAGCACAGCCCCCCTAAAAAATTAAGTAAGTTGGTGTTGGTTACCTGTTGATTCCTTAGCTGTTGATTGACAGTTTTTGCATGATGTTATACCTCTTCCTAATTAACTCCCCACCTCCTTTTCTGGGGTATCCTAATAAGCACCCCCTTTGGATTTTAATTAGTTAAACTATATACATTGTTTACAGTATTTTTGAAATGTATTTAAACTCATCAAGACAAGAAAATATTGCAATAAAACAAGTGTTGCCTTAGTTCCACAAAGACAGCAGTGATCTTTACATACCTCCATCGCAGATGCAGGATATGAGGCCCCTTCCCTCACAAAATGCCAGGCACTCTCCGTCTCTACAAACCCCTCTAAAACAAATGTGAAAATGTAAAGAACAACTTGACCCAATCCAATTTTTAGATACTGTGTACATTTTGGATATCATATTTGGACCAATTTACAAAAAAGGAAAAAAGAAAACAGAATAAAAAGGGGCACCAGAAAAGGGCATCACAGATTGAAACCATGTGGGGAATTGAATCAGGGTTTTCAGCAAGACATGACAAGCGAACACTTTAACCACTAGGATACCCCACTGGCCCTGGCAGTACTGGTACAGTTACGGTAACCTTCCAATCAGCCAGTCAGCATTAAGACTTCAAAATCCTTCACACAAACAAGCAAATTGGTGAACAGCATACTCACTCATCAAGACAGGGAGTATTATCTGGCTTCTTGTCTGCTGCTGGACAATCAAAGCTGTTGCCAGTGATGAAGTTAAGGAGCCAATACCATCATCTTAGTAATGAACATAAGGTCAGTTGACATATTTGTCCCTTTCAATATGACACTCATTTGTTTTCAGAATTTCACATCATTTAATAATTGAGATCTTCAGAAATATATTTTCGAGTTACCTCAAACGTTGGTCAGATTGCCTCTAATTGAATGACTTCAAGAATGTTAGCTGGAATTGTGGAAGACCAAACCAATACTCATTGACAACCATGAAAGATTGAGTAAAGGCATGTTTTGTCACACTGTTCTGATGAGCAGTTTTCAATGTCACTAACACATATGTCCACTGACTGTAGCTTAAAAGCAATGAATGTTTTCATAAGAAAGATAGGAGGAGGGTTTACGAGCAATAAATCTTTTACATGTAAAGTCAGATATTATTTATCACAATAATGCACATCAAAGAACATTGACTGTGGTGTAAACAGCATTTAAATAATGATCCTAAATACATCTAGCATAGAGCAGGCTGCAACTTGTTGGCCCACATACCCAAACCAATCTTAGTATTAAATCTTAGCATAGGCTTACAATAGTTGTGGCACTGAAAATACCTTGCACGTTTTAGGCCCAGACTTAGTGAGATATGTTACGATATCTTAGTAAACATTTACCGCTATCACTGCACTAAAAACTCTGTCCTGACACCTGCCCACACACTGGCCTACTGGCTTCTGTTTTTTTACAGGCAGTTTCAAAAGGATATGCACAGTAACTTGCATCAAGACAAGTGACATTGGTGTCGGCCACACAGATGTGGCCCAAACTAGCCATCTGGCAGTTGACGCAGCATTCATGGTTCACAGGGCTGGAGAAAAAGGAGAGGTCAACATGACATTCAAACCATACTAGAAACTAAACATCATTCCAGAATACAGTTAATAGTAAACAATATAATCAATGTCATTGGACAAAAAACATGTGTACAAATTTATGACACCAAAAACAAAAATTATATCGAATGAAATTACATATAATTCATAGCTAGTGTCACATCTTAAATGAAACAATAAAATATCTGAACTCTAACTATGAACCTAGTACATCAAATACTGTATATAATTCAAGGCATCAGATATGAAAGGGGTGTGTCAGATGGTCATACCTGCACACTGCACTTCCTGAAAACTGGCAAGTGGAACTGCAGCAGGGGTCAAGGCCAAATTTGCCAAGGTATCCAGCATCACATAGCTCCCCGGTTCTCTCTCAACGAGGCCGTTACCACACGACTGCTGTGGAGTCCTCTCTGGGAGAAAAACATCCAATACCATTAGCATTGCTGGTTTCATCACAAAATATGTCATGTGATCTTTTTGTAATAAAAAAGGAAATGGGGTTTCCTCTTAATCTGAGGACTAAATCATGAACTATGAAATGGTAAATGAAGAATACCAAAACTTCTCATAATTGCAGTGACAATAATGAGTAACAGGATATTGGGAAAGACTTCCGCCCGTATCCTCCGTTAAATCATATCACTTGAATATTCATCTGATAAGGATGAGTTTTAACATGTTTCTTTAATTATATCTGAACATACTGAGAGACATATCCAACTTCTAAAAATGCCACCCAATATGGGCTTAAGTCTTGCCAGATATTGTATCTATAGTTTTTAAGGAATACCATATTAGATTTGTTATTTCAAGTTGTTTTATGTTTATTAGTCTTTGCCTTAGTTGTATGTCCTTGGGTTAACAGTCCAAGCAGTTAGTCTATTTTATCAAAGGGTGGACAGGTTATTCCATTCTGAAACGATCAAGCTTTTCAATACAATAGCCCTTAGCTTCCTATTTGATTAACATTACATAACTACAGCTTTCTTCCACTGCATTTGCACACTTTTCAAATCACACTGCTTATAACTCTGCACTGGACAAGACACTGGCACATAGCTCAGGTTAGATAGTTACTTTATCCTTGCCTTGATATATTATCAATTAAATATGTTATAAATACTGTAAAGTCATATGTACAATGTTTTACCGAAATAACTAGAGTGGGTATCACAACATCAACTTCTTTGTGGCATTTCTGTGTTTTCATTAGTTAAATATAAAACATTTCCACTTCCTTCTTAAGAGCACTTGTAAACCTACCTTTGAAACAAGCACTGCCTTTTGACTGCAGAACTCTGTCGATCAGAACCTTGCTGCATGGGGAAAATTGCTGAAATAAAAGAAACCAATAAGACCACTGACATCAAATAAGTTTTTGTTTTATTCACATGAAAATAAACCAAACTCAGTTGATATGGATGTTCAGATGTTGATTTCATTTGAAGCATACATAGTTTAACTTTAAACATATTTTATTCCCAGGAAAAGGAATTGGAACAGGTTATCACAACTTATATACATATTAGTATACATCTGGACTCTCCTAAAGATAAAGATGTATGTTCATATACAGTTTTTACATTAAATAAAAAATGAAATCAGAGAAATAGTGAACATATATATTACTCACTAAAACCTTTTTTGTTTTCCTTTTTGTTTGTACATTCCTAAAGGTTTTTGGGTAAGGCCCGGCATTGCACCAAGTCATAAGTATTTTCCACAATTAATAATAGTGGGAAAATAACTTTGTTCTAGTTGTTCGAGAAAAGACAATTCGGTGAAAAATGATAAAAAATTTCACATGGGCTTCTATATCAAAACTTTGTATCTTTGTTTAAACCTTTTCTGAATGAATGATTTTCTATTTCACTATATCTAATGGTCTTTAAAAAATTACACTATACCTACACAATTAAGACATAATAAAACTAAAACATACTTATATATTGGTTATCTCTAATACACACGTAGGACATTCTGTTTAATCAGATATAAATAGCATATTTAAAGGGACATGTACATCTGGGACCTACTGTATGCAAAGAATTCCACAACTTACATGATTGTTGGGGTGGACCCCGCTGACAGAGTATGGGTACATGAGGTACTTCCCGTCACCTATTATGGAGGAAGGAGAACAGTCGCTTCCATCATGCTCACTGCCCCAGTTGTGTCCTAAAATAACGCAGCAATTTCACAAAGATTGAATTTTCTTTCATCTTACATTACTGTTATTAAAATTCTCATCAACAAAAATAAAGTGTGGAAAGGTTACATGAAAATCAATTTCTTCACATTTTAAGTATTTTACTCAACAATCCCAAACATTACAACACAGGAGTAGGTAGATGTTATAACAGCAAAGCGAGAGTACTTTCTTCCATTAGATCAGAGTCTCAGACAAATTAACCATTCCACTATGAGGTATAAATACAATCAGGTGGAATTAGATACTATGAGGTGGACACTTACCAAGTTCTACATATATTTAGGATGAAAAGCAGCAGCATGTAGAAAAGTATGAAAAGAAACAAATTTGAGTTAATGCATAAATTGTGACTCACCATTATGGTGGTACACTTAGCAACGACCAAACATTACCCGGATACCCCCCCAGTCTCAAAACCCAAAGAAGACAACTTAGAAGTATTTAAGAACAGGAAATCTTAAGGACAAAGTAAACTGAAAAGAACATTGTGATCTTGTTGTGAATATCAATTTTCCAAGTAACATCTAGTCAATTTTCAAAAGTGAAAAACTCATCATATTCATATAAAGTTTATTAATGTCCATATGAAAGTGTTGAAATTACACACTACGTAATGTGTTTATACATACAGTAAAGTTAACGTATTGACATGGTAATTCAATGGACAAGCACATAGAAAAGGGAGGAAAGGAGGGTAACAGGTTATTTCACTCCAAAGACATTCACCCCAGGCTGTTTCACCCGAGTTGTTTCACCCCAGCAAATAATTATTATTGCTATCAACTATAAAATTGTTTCAATATTTTATTCATCTGTGTATAGTGTCGAAACAGCATATTCAGATTGTTTGAATATTGTATCAGTTCATATTGGATGTGTTGGATTGGGTGAAGTCCTTCAGTGATGACAGGAATGAACTTCCCGGAACCAAAAAGGCAATGAAGAAACCAGATGCACAGCAGGTAACATAGGGCACCAGCCTGATTGTTCAAGTGTGGATTGCGTCAAACACCAGGAACCTGTTGTAACCCTTGTAAGGGGAATCCCCCCTGGTAGATATTTTCCTATGGGCGAGGGTCTCCCCCGTAAATATTTATTGTCTGTGTTATGCCATTTCTGGGTTTTTTTCAAATTTAATTTTGGTCAAGTATTTGTGATAAATTATACACTAAAGTATTGAAATCAGCAAAGTTGTTATGTTTAGTTTACCCTTACTCTCCCTTTAACATATTAGCAGTAATCATAATTTTAGACACTTTCATATTTTGCATCATATTTTCTTAACATGAACACAGTTGATCTCTAGCTGTCACTAGTGTTCAATATTAACCCTGTGTTGAGCCTCCCCCACCACACCCCAAGACTCCACACTGAGCCAAGACCTCCCCTACCACACCCCAAGACCCCACACTGAGCCAAGACCCCTCCCACCACACCCAAAGACCCCACACTGAGCCAAGACCTCTCCCACCACACCCCAAGACCCCACACTGAGCCAAGACCCCCACCACACTGAGCCAAGACCTCTCCCACCACACACCCCACACTGAGCCAAAGTCCTCCCCACCACACCCCACACCGAGCCAAGACCTCCCCACCACACCCCAAGACCCCACACTGTGCCAAGACCTCTCCCACCACACCCCAAGACCCCACACTGAGCCAAGACCCTCCCACCACACCCCAAGACCCCACACTGAGCCAAGACCCCCACCACACTGAGCCAAGACCTCTCCCCCAAGACCCCACACTGAGCCAAGACCTCCCCACCACACCCCACACTGAACCAAGACCTCCCCCACCACACCCCACACTGAGCCAAGTCCTCCCCACCACACCCCACACCGAGCCAAGACCTCTCCCACCACACCCCAAGACCCCCACACTGTGCCAAGACCTCTCCCACCACACCCCAAGACCCCACACTGAGCCAAGACCCCCACCACACTCAGCCAAGACCTCCCACCACACCCCAATACACCACACTGAGCCAAGACCCCCACCACACTGAGCCAAGACCTCTCCCACCACACCCCAAGACCCCACACTGAGCCAAGTCCTCCCCACCACACCCCACACTGAGCCAAGACCTCCCCACCACACCCACACTGAGCCAAGACCTCCCCACCACACCCCAAGACCCCACACTGAGCCAAGACCTCTCCCACCACACCCCAAGACACCACACTGAGCCAAGACCTCCCCCACCACACCCAAAGACCCCCACACTGAGCCAAGACCTCCCTACCACACCCCAAGACCCCACATTGAGCCAAGACCCCCCCCACTGAGCCAAGACCTCTCCCACCACACCCCAAGACCCCACACTGAGCCCACCCCTCACCAGCTGAGCCAAGACCTCTCCCACCACACTGAGCCAAGACTCTCCCCACCACACCCCTCACTGAGCCAAGTCCTCCCCACCACACACCCACACACTGAGCCAAGACCTCTCCCACCACACCCCAAGACCCCACACTGAGCCAAGACCTCTCCCACCACACCCCAAGACCCCACACTGAGCCAAGACCTCTCCCACCACACCCCAATACACCACACTGAGCCAAGACCTCCCCCACCAAAAGACACCACACTGAGCCAAGACCTCCCCCACCACACCCCAAGACCCAACACTGAGCCAAGACCTCCCTCACCACACCCCAAAACACCACACTGAGCCAAGACCTCCCCCCATCACTCACAGAGATTTCATAACAACTGACCGTGAGCAGTGACAAGGTCAGCCATTTGGGCCAGTACAACAGCCCCATTCTCGTTTCTGGTACTGCTGAGTGCTGTATTCAGGCTTGTTTGAACACCATTGATTGATCGAACTGGAACAGAACAAATAATTTCAGGATTACAATCATCTTTGTCACATCTCAGTTGTTTCATTAGTTCGGTTAGTGGTGTTCATTCTGGAATATTCTCTGAAATTGACATGAATAGAAAAAAAATATTGTGATCATACAGTTAGGTGACCCCCAAAAAGTGTTACAGATCTGCTCTGAATTTCCTTCAAAACTTGGAAGTTTTTCATAACTGTAGACAGTTAACAAACTCCTTTTCCCTGCACTAGAAACAACTTTGGTATTTAGACTAAATGCAGACTCATGAACGATGCCTGTATATTATGTTTGATGTTGAAAGTTGTACCTCTGGAGCAGATTCCTCCAACACTGCTTGTTTTGGGTGAAGCAATGTAAGCAAGTCCGAGTACGTTATTGACAAACGACTGGTGTGTAAACAAGTGGGCTAAACAGTAATTCTTGAAGTCCAGATCTTGGCCGAATACCTGAGAAGAGAAATACAAGAGTAAGAAGTGGAAATGTGTTGTTGTCAATTCATAGTTATTGCAGACCTCATTATGGATGTTACTTGTAATGGTGCCTCCTGACAGACCAAGGAGTCAGAAATATCTGTTTTTAAAGTACGATCTTATGTTGATGGCGGTATGTCTGAACACAGGACCATTTCCGGTCATAGGGAGATGTGTCTGACAACGGTGAGAGTTTCTCCCTCAAGAAACCCATGAAATCATCATGTCTTGTAAAGTGACACATACAGAGCCAGTGACTCTAGACAGTGCATATATCTGAGCAGACCTTGCAATATGGGGAAGACTTTGTGAATGAGTGCATTCCTGCTGGTTGATGAAATGAGCAGTCATAACATCATCTGTTGCTGTCATGAGACAGGTGCCCTAATGCATCCTCCAAACTCACTGTATAAGTCTTGTCTCCACCCTTACTGAACTTGGCCGGAAACATACGTCCTTCTAAGAATCTGGCTGAGCTTCACACAGGTGTAGTCGCCTAAAAGTAGCTTCTGCCTGTGTGATGGAGAGATACCTCTGCGAAGAGCTCAGGTCATAAATCAGTTGAAGTTAAGCGTTGGGTGCTGAGAGTCGGTGGATGGGTGACCGTGTTTGGCAACTTGACTCCTGAGAATTTCTTGGACTTCAGTCCTGCCCCACAATGAAGCACATGTGATACATGTGGTCTGACCTTAGGCAATTGAGTTTGTTCAAAATTGCCGCTGTTCACCCAGCAGAAAATGGGTACCCGGTGAAATAGGTTGTGAGACTATTAACCTTGGGTTAACCAGGGTAGTAATGATCAGACTGTGCGCTTTGAGCAGGATATCTAGCCTGAAGAAGGCGCGTTATAAATATTCTCATTATATCTACTGGACCTCACTGTAGAAGAGTTTCTCCACAAACAAAGTTTTGTTCTCTGGTGAGGTTTGACCAACTGAGTATCATAATCTGGATGGGATGACGTTCATGTGAGATATGGTATAGAAAGATGACTGCAATGATGTTCAAGGGGAAACATGTATTACAGTAAAATATGAACACAAAGTAAGAAAGCTGACAGCCATTTATTGTCAAATATGGCTTGAAAATTGCACATAATTATTATCAAACCAAAGACATAACTCCAATTCCAAATTGAAATCAAAGTCTATAGCTAACTGCATGTACTTCATGCATGTGTGTGACAGTTGATAAAAACCTGAATCCTTCTTTGTCTTTTCTCAAAGAGGGCAAGGAATTCCCTGACTCCTTGCCCCCCCCCACCTGTAACAGGGATTCTGCAAATATTAAATACAAAAAAAGTCTATAGCTAACACATCTTGTCACTTGGTGCAAGGTCGTTAAAGGGTGTGTTTGTTTGAATGTTCTACACTGTTAGTAGTAGAGGAAATGATTGTCCTGGACCAAGTCCAACAAAAGCCTCTGCAAAGCCTTATTTCCCAAATAAGGCTTTGGTCGGACCCTTAGCTCTTGCTACCATTACCCCTACTGCTTAAAAGTAGTAAAATGTCCCCGGCAGCCACAATTCCCCAAGGGAGAAATAGAAATGTATTGCGCTTCCTCCCAAGGGGAATTGTGTATCACATCACACAAAGTTGCGACGGTGGGATACGAACCCACATGTACAGCTTGCGCAGACTATACATAATGGGCCGCACCACTCAACCGACTGAGCTACCGCGGACTTAGCTGAAGTAGGTCAGTTTAACGGGTATTGTATCACGCACCCACGCATCACGTGCTGTTGACAGGAGGTAACACTGTGCCATACGGTACGATCAATAATTCTTCTCTTACAAACCCTCTGCCTGGCCCATCCCTCAAGTAGTACAAGTTCGGCTCGTCTGCTTTGATGTCCACTTTATCTATGTTGTAAGTTTTGACTGACCATATAGGATCGGTGGCTCGCTTACGGCTATCACCCTCGTGTTCCCCAGGCTGGTATAGATACCTAACTAGGGCCCTATCTGGGATCTGTTTCTCCTTCCCACGCAATGGAGCGGCCGACTCTGCAACTATTGATTTTAATTTGATAGCGTCTGCCGGTTTCTTGCCGGTGAGACGGGTGACTTCATGGTTGATTGCCGACACCACCTTAGGTAACCTCGTGACCCATTCAGTCGATCGTTTCCGGGCGCCAACTCCCTCGCATACTGATGTCCAAATAAGCGCTCAGCCAAAGTCCTATTGAATCTCTCAACTATGGCTTGGCTGCGATGGGCTCCAGCCGTGCCACGCCTGACCTTTGTATCGTGTTTGGCTAGCAGTTGTGACACGGCACCCATGAACTCCCGCCCGGGGTCAACTTGCAGCTCTGTTGGCCACGCCAGCGGACTGCGTTTGTATATGCGTTCGAATCCTCTGGCCACCTGGGCAGAATCTTTCGTGGTCAAGGGCTCGGCTTCCTTGTAGCGACTGGCTACGTCCACTACGGTTAAGGCATACTTGTACCTCTTGTCGTGGGGTAGGAACAGTAGGTCTGCCTGGTGAACGCTATTAGGTATGTTAATACCAAACTTCCTTCTAGGCACGTAGCGTGGTGGCGACAAATAGATCTGCCACAGGGCTTGTTTTTCAAGCCACGCTTTGGCTTCCTCCGGGGGTACTCGCGCCATTTTAGCCAGCTTATCTACAGCGCTAGCTCCTTTCCAGTACCCACGCGGGCTATGGTAAATAGCCTCAAACTTTCTCTGGTTCCGTGACATGTTCAATTTTCTCATGTCCATACGCGTACGTGTTTATCCCATCAATAGCTATCCAACGTTTAGTGTCCATCGGCGACAGGGACGTCTTGTTTATTGTCAGTCCGTATATCTTATGGCCATCACTTCTAAGTGTGTTCATTTTATGTCTAAAGGTACGGGTCTTGAACAGGGCTTCCTTGAATCTGGCGTGTTTGATGTGTTGTTTCACCACGTACTTCTTAACACCCTTAGCCTTCCGGATCTCACTATTGTCGGCCTTCAGGATGGAGTACATCTTAGGTCTCAAACCTATGTACTCGGCTATGGGCGTGCCAGCACACTCGTCCTTCATCTTACCTAGGACCTTTTTATTTACCGTGCTGTGTATGGCATGGTCCTTGGGGTAGTCGCTGGTGTCGCATACAAATCGAGGTGTTTTTCATGTCCTCATTACACGTCATCGGTTCGAATCTCCATCAGCAGGGAATCCGTGTCAGTGTACAGCACTTCGCACCTGTCGTCGTACTGTTTCTTAAGCTCGTTGTAGTAAAAGTCGTACATCAGGTGTTTGGATAAATCGAGGATGCTCATCCCCACGTAAACAGGCCGGTTGAATTTTATGTGGCTTTTCTTCATGTGTAGGGCAACTAGGTCATCGGTGAATATTTTGCTACGGTTGAATGCGGACTGGCTATCAGTCTCCTGAGCTTGTCTTCCTCATTCGACCGAACCAGCTTCACGGTCACGCGTTTCCTCAGGTTCTCCATAGTCTTACCGAACACCGAGTTGTTCATGAGCTTGTAGAGATTTTTCTCAAAGTCACTGGTGGCAAGCTTTTCGGAGGTCTGTGTTCATTCTGATGTAGGGCTCCATCCATGGGCTCTGGTCGAACACGAGCACCCTGTGTATTTTAGTCAGCCTCATACCCAGCGACAGGTACAGCTGTAGGTTGCGATAGTGAACGATGTACTTGGTCTTATTCATTAAGTTAGGCACGAAGTTTTTCAACGTCTGCCACCCGCCCACCTAATAAGTTATGTTGGTACTCAGACATCCAGTCTGGGTTAACCCTCATAACGTCAGGGGCCAGGGGTAGCTGTTGTGTGATATGAATGTAATGCCTTGGGGTACTCCAAGTCAACCTGAGGATATAACCTTTGTTAGAATCTGACGCGACGCTCATAACATCAACCTCATGTGACGCCCATTCGAATCCCCCTGTGGGTAGATACTGGCTCATGGCCCAGCCGTACAGGTTGTTGGCGTCGAGGTAGAGAATGTGATTGGTTGGTTTGCTAGGGTCGTAGCCCTTCACGTATTGATTATTTGCTTTCACGTATCGTTTGGCTGCCATGGAGATCCCACCTCGCAAGCCTTTCTCAATGAATAGGTGCATGTCATAATCTGTAAGCAATTCCAACTTAACTCCGGTCCTTTTAAGCAAGGCATCCCACGACAGACCTGGGCTGGTGTAATACCATGCGGGGTCGAGTTTATACTGCTTGAAACACGTCCGCCTAAACGTCTCAAACACGTCGGCTAACAACAGTACATCTGTCCTCAAGTACAGGTCATGATAGTCACCCAGGTTCTTACAACCCAGTTTATTCCATACATTAATAGCGTGTGAGTAATCGTCTTGGGATATTTCCGAGTCGGTCAGATTGCTGTAAAATTCTCTGATGGGGGGTAGTCTGGTCTCGGTGAACTTAGGCCAACTATCCATGTACTCATAGGGATACACACCCTTCCTCATAAGCAGGGGTCTAGTCTCGGCGTCCGTGTATCGATCGGTAATAAAAGGGAAGGTATCGTTGGCCTTGACCAGACTGTCTAATGAAGACAATAAGAATTGTACTGAATCTATGAACCTAAGGCCGTTTAAGCTGAAGGAGATGTATCTCTCCATGTTGTTGGGGATGCACGTTATATTACCATCGATTTTCGCGATGGCCTGCATGATTAAGTGATAGTCGTATTCTCTCAAGTTGTGAAAGACAACGGGAATGTTTATTGTCTTAGGGTTGATTCTAAGCTTAAGGTTACACAGCTGTGAGCTGGCTTCTCTATACTTACGGTTACGCGTGACAGTGATCTCTTACCGAATCACCGTTAAGTGGTGAGTCACACAAGTGACAATTAGTGCTACAGGCGTGAGCTAGCCTGTCGGCTTGGGTCATACGCATGGGAGCGACTCTATACAGTGCGTTCCTAATAATTTTTTCTTCCTCCTGCAAACACTTTAGAATCCTTTCAGCCGCGTCAGGACCCCTATACACTACCGGAGCTTTC